AGCTAATGAGAACAGCAGCTGATACCCCTGCCATTATGAATTGGGATTTATTTTTCACAATGAAGAGAAATACCAAAGTTATAGACTTGGACATGTTTAAGGATCACTGTGTTCTATTCCTAAAGCACAGCAACCTACTTTATGTTAATGTGATTGGTCTGGCTGATGATTCAGTTCGGTCTCTAAAGGTATGTTTAATTTTCAAAAAATAATACTGTTAATCAAAATATATATGCAGTTTAGCTTAACAGAACATTAAATACTGAGTAATAGCAGTGTTCTTTTTCTTAAAAGGAATTTAATTTAAATGGAATTTAGTGTATTGACTTGTATTTCATCAGGTTTAAGAGGCTTATTTTAGGATTACTTGGAGGACTTTGGTTCTAATGCAGTTTTACTTAAAATACTCTCTTATACGTGTGGCACCTATGGCTCAAGCAGCTAAGGCGCCAGCCACACACACCTGAGCTGGTGGGTTCGAATCCAGCCCGGGCCCGCCAAACAACAATGACAGCTACAACCCAAAAATAGCCAGGTGTTGTGGTAGGCTCCTATAGTTCCAGCTGCTTTGGAGGCAGAGGCAGGAGAATCGCTTGAGCCCAGGAGCTGGAGGTTGCTGTGAGCTGAGATGCCATGGCACTCTACCCAGGGTGACAGCTTGAGGCTCTGTCTCAAAAAAAAAAAAAAAAAAACCTCTCTTACAAGGCAGTGCCTATAGCTCTGTGGGTAGGGCGCCAGCCACATACACTGGGGCTGGCAGGTTCTAACCCAGCCTGGGCAAGCTAAGATCAACAATGACAACTGCAACCAAAAAATAGCCGGGTGTTGTGGCGGGCACCTATAGTCCCAGCTATTTGGGAGGCTGAGGCAAGAGAATCGTTTAAGACCAAGAGTTTGAGGTTGCTGTGAGTTGTGACACCACAGCACTCTACTAGGGGTAACATAATGAGACTCTGTCTCAAAAAAAAAAAAATTCTCTTTACAGCATGGACTTCAGAAGTAAAGTGCCATTATATTTCTCTTTTTACATTATCTCTGTATTTGAACTATCTCTACAACTTTAGTTAGCAATAACTTAGGCCAACTTGGCAGCTAGTGCCTAACCTCCTACTGCTAAGCTTCCCCATCTCACATCCCCGTTAGAGGCAGGAGTCGTACCTACTGCATGCTTTTGACATCATCGCCTTCTCTTTGCCCATGTCCTTACCCATGAGGGATGGGAGCAGGTGAGCCTTGATTTCTTTCAATAGAGGGTGTCAGCAGTCTCCCCAGCAGCCCAGAGGGGTGATGGTAGTGAGTCTGCCTGGCTGGTTGACTTGTTGATACTGCTTGTGGATACCAGGAAGGAAAATCTGTCTTCACAAGTGAGCCTGCTGGAATTAGTGAATGGCAACTTGATTGCCCAGTATTAAAACAGCATTAGCATATAAGTTAAGAAAGCAGGCACTGAAGGGAGGAGGAATGCCTCCATTGTGTTTGATAAGAAGAATTATTGAGCTAATTGACCAGCAAGCAACACTGACCATTCATACCTCCCAGTATTGTCAAAATTCCTTTTAAGATGCAGTTCCTGTCCATGTAGTGACTGTTCATTGAACTTGTATGTGCAAAATACTATATCTGGGCATTTATAGAGTAGAAAGACAGTAGGACAAAATAGCCTTAAGGAGGATAGGGCTTATAGTACACAAAGATTTAAATAAGTGATATCAAAAACATAAAATGTTCTGTGGGGCTCAAAAGAGAAAGAAGCTCAGGAGCTTTTGGTCAGATTGGTTGAATATGAAACAAACCAACGAGGCTAGCTAGGATTTTGACAGGTGGGAAGGGGTTTCATATTCCAGAATGAGAATGCCTTCAAATGAAGCTCTAAGCCGGGGAAGTTCAGAAAATGTTCAGGAAACTGCTAGTGATTCTGTTTTATGAAAGCAAAATACATTGTTGGAGGGTAAAGCTGTGATTTGGATGGTTTTTAACTGCCAGTTTGAGAAGTATATGTGTGAATTCTGAAGGGGGAACCTATGAAATGCAGGCGGGGAATGGTTTGAGGAGTGGAGCTATACTTGATAGGGTCATCTGGCAGCCATATTGGGGTAGACTGAAGCAAAAAGGTAAGGAGCAGGAAGGCTAGTTTTGAGATTGTTATACTGGTTTAAATAAGAAATAATAGGCATACTAAAATAAAAGTGGCAATGGACTTCAAAGACTTTCTTATTGTCTTCTTCTGCTAGAGTCAAAGTATTTCTTTTCACTTGCTAATTGATGCCAAATTCAGACATCTTTTATTGGAACATTGGCAGGGAATAGGTCCTTATTGCAATCTATATGAATAGGGATTGGAGAGAATACGTCATTTCCAGCTATGCATTTATTACAACAAAATTCTGTGTCAAGAGAATTAGGACTGTCATCTGGAGTCCTATGACAGTGCTATGATATGCTTTGACTTCTAAGTAAATAAGAACTTTTACAACTTTTGTAAGTATTCCTACTTTTAAAATATGCCTCAGTTTCCATTGTTTTAACTTCCATTAGAACACAAATCATATCATTTATTCTGTATCCTCTATTTTCTGACTATTCTCAAATTGTAGTACCGACATTTGTTTTCTTTTAAGTTAAAATTGCCAATACAGCCCTCAAAATGCAAGTTTATCGAATAAAGCTGAGAAGAGTACCTACGTTTAAAGAGACTTTTATAGATAAGACCCTTTCTGTGAACCTAGATAACAATGATTAAATACCCATAGATGGTGCCATATACAAAGGACAAAAGTCTTTAACCAAATCATGAGTACATTATAAAGTATTTACATATATAACATGTCTAACAAGTACACACTTTGAACTCAGTCAAATTCATATAGTTGGGTCCTGTCCTTGGTCATCTTGTCGTCTTTATCTGGTAGCCTTTATTCCCCCACACAAAGAAGTTATGACTTAATTGTTTAATTTAAGCAAATTGGGGTATTTTTTGCTCTATGCTAACATTTTATTTAGAGGTGGGATCTGTACACCCAGGCCCATTTTCTTTGAGTACATGTATCTTAATCATTCTTTCAATGAAAGGACTGTAGTTTTTTAGTAGTAAATGTTAAAATTGAATCTGTTTCTGTCAAGTAACTAAGCACCAGTTCTCAACCTGTGAGTTGCGACCCCTTTGTAACAATGAAAATACGTTGAGAACCACTGATCTAAGGAATGTCTGCCTATCACGTGGCCAGCTGATTTGCGGGTGCTGTTCGTTGATTCACAAATACACTGCAGGGTTATCTCAACAGGATTATGTGCCTTACAGTATTCTTGAGATGATTAATACCTATTTCTGTGTCAGCTAGACAAACTTTAAAAAGTCCAGACCTTTGGCTCAGCACCTGTAGTTCAAGCGGCTAAGGCACCAGCCATATACACCAGAGCTGGCGGGTTCAAATCCAGCCTGGGCCTGCCAAACAATGACAACTTGTCGCGACCACATAAATGATCACAACCAAAAAATAGCCGGGCATTGTGGCAGGTGCCTGTAGTCCTAGCTACTTGGGAGGCTGAGACAAGAGAATCACTTAAGCCTAGGAGTTGGAGATTGCTGTGAGCTATGATGCTACAGCACTCTACCCACGGTGACAGCTTGAGGCTCTGTCTCAAAAAATGAAAAAATAAAAAAGTTCAGAGCTTTGAAACAGTTTTTGATATGATTATAACTTCAACTTTGGCCCCACTGGTGGTTTTCAACACCTGAAAAACTTTAATTTTTTGGAATCCTTGATCTAAAACTAAGATAGTTTACTACATGGGTCACTTGGAAACTGTCCTGAAGTCTCACCAGAGGGCAGAAAAAAACATGTGCTTCTGTGGGTAAAGGAACCTTCACCCTCACTCTGAGGCTTCGCTGTGAGGTTTGCAGCAATGCTACCTCATTTATATGCTACCGGATTTATAGTTTACATGTTTACTTCTGTTTCCTGTGATTATGTCTTATACTTAAATAGACAAATTATCCTTTAAAGTAATACTCAATCTGAAAAGAATAAATTCAGAACTCTTGGAGAAACACTACAAATGTGTATCTTTATTAGTGTTTCATGAAAATAGACTCTTTGGACTAACTGGAAGAAATTTGCTAGAGAACATAAACTTTTTGGCCATAGTTTCTGCAGGTGAAATAGCATACTTTCTATGCACACATCCTCCATCTCCCCTTTCTCAGGAGTGCCCGCCAGTCATGGTGCTGTGCCCTGATTTTCTAAGGAATTTGCTCTGTCTACAATTACTCAGGAAAAGAAAGGCAATTTTCTTTTAATGTTCTGACTCTCAGTACCATTTCTAACACCCTGTCAACCTGCTTACCAGAGTCCTTTAAATGGTGTAGAGAGATGTTAGTGGAAGGTTTGAAACTGGACCCTGCTGCTCTAAGAGAATAAATTTTGATTCCTTTCCTTTTTTTCTTAAAGTTAAGAATCTTAAGCATAATAGCTATGAGTCCCTCAGAGTAGATGTGCCAGGAAAGGTTTTGTTCTGCACAATGGTTAGCCTGGGAGCTAAAGTTAGAAACAGATTATAAATGCTTTAGTGCTGCTGAGCCGTTTGTAGCTCTGGAATAATAACTGTCATCATTGGGGCTATCCAGGCAGCAGGGTAAGGACTGGTGGGTAAATTATTAAAAACACATGCATGTGAGAAATTTCATGTTCTGTGGGAATAGAGATCTTGACGATGTTGCTTTTCTAGAATTACTATTTGATTTGCTCTTATTCTTAAACATTTTGCTATTTTATTACCCAGGCTTATACCCCAAAATAAACTTTTATGTGAAAGGCTACTTCATGTAAATCTAGAATCAAGCTAAATTTCTTCCTATGATTTTTTATTTTATTGGCCATTAATGTAGAGTTTTTTTTTTCTTAAAATATTTTGTGTTGTGATGAAGTAATTCTTAAGTGAGGCATAATACGGTAATAGGAGGTAAACTGGATGTCCACATCATCTCATTTGGAGCAAACTCAGAAATTTAATGATACTTACTGTCACAAAAGTAAAAATAACTTTTTTTTTTCTAGCTCCCTCCATGGGCCTGTGGATTCATAATGGATACAAATTCTGACCCAAAGAATTGCCCCTTTCAGCTTTGCTCCCCAATACGTCCCCCCAAATATTACACATATAAATTTGCAGAAGGCAAACTGTTTGAGGAAACTGGACATGAAGACCCAATCACAAAGACGAGCCGTGTTTTGCGTCTGGAAGCCAAAAGCAAGGTGGGTCATCTCTACCTTCAGCTGCCATTTACTGACAGCACCCTGGGTGCCATTAGCACAGTTTCCCAAGGTAGATCTCTCATACCACAGTAAAACCCAAGGGACTTTAGGGAATATATGGGGTTTTTCTAACTTTAATATTCATGTATTCATTTTAACATGGATTAGAAAATTTATAACGAACACATTAAGCCCTTTATTTCACGTATTATTTATGTCTGTATTTTAAAAGTTGATTGATTGAAAGAAAAAAATCAGGCTCGGTGCCTGTGGCTCAAGTGGCTAAGGCACTAGCCACATACACCTGAGCTGGAGGGTTTGAATCCAGCCTGGGCCTGCCAAACAACAATGACGGCTACAACCAAAAAATAGCCAGGCATTGTGGCGGGCGCCTGGGGTCCCAGCTACTTGGGAGGCAGAGGCAGGAGACTCGCTTGAACCCAGGAGTTGGAGGTTGCTGTAAGCTATGATGCCATGACACTCTACCCAGGGGTGATAGCTTGAGGCTCTGTCTCAAAAAAAAAAAAAAAAAGAAAGAAAGAAATCAAGTCGGGTACACAGTTGTGGCAAAAAATTGTGACAGTGATAAGCGGTTGACTAAAGTCAACAAGAGCAATACAGTTTCTGCCCTCATGGAGCTTACATCTAGCAGGGATATGACAGATGCTGAAGAAATAGTTACTAGTGTACTGATTGCTGCAAAGGAAGATGCACTGAGTATAGTAAAAGCAGAAGGCAAAGGAAAGAGATCAGGGAGGGTTTCTCCAAGGAAGTGATGTCTCAGCCAAGACCTCTAGGATGTTTGATAGCAGGCTAGAAAGGGGAAGGGGATTTCATTTTGTAAATAGACCCTGAACTGGGGAAGAAATAATACAATTCAAGAACCATACAGGAGGCCGGAATGGTGATACTCGAGTAAAAGAGGGAAGATTGGCAGGGGAGGAGTGGAGAGAGATGAGACATAGGAAGGGAGGTAACAGATAACCATATTCCAGGTATACTCAATATACAGAATTTACAAATTTGTGCAAGTAGGGAACAAATTAATACATAGCCTTGAATTTAAAGAATTTTCAGACCTTAGCATACCATATATCAGGTAATTACATGCTGCCAAGAATGAATTGCCTGTTTATTTTTATGAATTTTTTCTTTAATTTATTGATTTTCTTTTAATATCTTAAGTAATATTTTCACCTTTTAGATTTTTTTGTGAACAAAATATATACTTAGTAGGCATTTAGTTTTACAATCATGGAATTATAGCACCTACCAAAATGATAGAGTTATTGTTACCCCAAATGCAAAGAACAATCGGATTCTCTGTGGGAGAAGGGACATGACTGCTCAGGCTCCTGTACGTCTCCACAGGCATTTTGCACTGCTGATGAACTCCAATCCAGCCTACCACAGGACTAGCTACCGTCTTTACCTCTTTCCTTCACAACTTGTTACCCAGCAAGTTTTTCTGATTGTATAATTGAAGCTGAGGAGTCTGGTGAAGAGAGGGGGAAGACAAAATTTATTTTATAGAAATTAATCTGTGTCAGGTTTCTGACATAGATAATGAATCTTCCTGAGACGTGAACATTTACTTAGGCTTTCTTAACAAGTTTGGTGTGATAAAGAATCATGAGATGAATTTTTCCTCTTTATTTGATAATACTTTGTTGTCCCTATTTATTGCCCCAAAATGATGTCTTCAAAATGAGGATAAAAAAAATACAGAGAGTTGCTTGGGTATAGCCCTATGTAAACTAGGGCTAGTTTATTATTTTTTTTGAGCAGGGTGAGAACCAGATTCTTCACCCTTTTTGTATGAAAGGAAATCAGAAGTTGTTTGGGTTGTCTGAATTTTGTCTGTTTTGAGAGTGCCTAGTTTCAGTCAAAGTTTGAGCTACACTGGGGAATGGTTATATGACCTAAAAGTAATTTAAATTTAACCACTTAAAACAATTTTTTGGATAAAGTTAAGTAGGCTTCTATGTATATTTTGAAAAGAAAGTCAGTATGTCAAAAAGATAATTTGCACTCCTGTGTTTATTGCAGCATTATTCACAATAGGCAAGATTTGGAATCAACTTAAATGTCTTATCAGTGGATGAATGGATAAAGAAATTGTGGCACATAAGAGTAGAACTGGAATGTTCCTAACATAAATGATAATGCTTGCAATTGGATTGCCCAATTATCCTGATTACATTGTATGCCTGTATTAAAACATCACATGTACCGTATAAATACATACAGCTATTATGTACCCATAATAATTAGGCGTGTTTTTTTTTTAAATAGGTCTTTGTAGAGGATGTGAGTAGATACCCATAAAGTCAATAAGAGATTTCAGGTTCTCAAAGTTGATAATTCTGACTGTAGGAGACAAAATTGAGCTGACAAAACTTCTTAAGTTAGCATATTTGTAAATATTTGAAGATGAGAAATGGCCGTAGCTAGCCCTAGGCATTGGAAGAATTATCTATCAGGATTTCTAACCTTGATTGATATGTGGGCTTGACCTACAACTTTAAAAATTACAGTAATAGTGAGTAGTGCAGACCTCTTTAAAATTCCATTACTGCTCTTTTCTGGTTAATACTGTAAGCCAACAAAATAGCTAAAATCAAAACTATAATTATTTTTAGAGACTGTAATGCTTTTGCCTTAAATGAATTTGTGCTCAACATCAGTAGGTAGCAGATAAGGGCGAGGGAGTATACTCCAGTATATTTTAAATTGTGAGTAAAAGTGTTTGGAAAGACTTCTCTTTATGTGCATAGTAATTCTTCATTTCCAGGATGGAAAATTAGTGCCAATGACTGTTTTCCACAAAACGGACTCCGAAGACTTGCAGAAGAAACCTCTCTTGATACACGTATATGGAGCTTATGGAATGGATTTGAAAATGAATTTCAGACCTGAGAGGCGGGTGTTAGTGGACGATGGGTGGATATTAGCATA